TCTTTATTCCTTGGACTGTCTATACGTCATGGCTGTCAAAAAGTTGAAACAAGCTTGTGTTTGCAATAGTAGTCACTAGCTTGTGTTACAATGAATCTGCTGGCATTTGTGTTCACTGTAGAAGTGATCTGGGTGGATGTAAAGTCATTCAATCACGTTTACAGCCCTAGATGATGGAAGCCTCCTTTCCCCACTGCAATTTTCTTTCCAGTGATTCCCAGGCTCCCCTAATTCTGTTTGAAACTTAGGAGCAGAATAAAGTGTGACTGGAATTCTTAATCTATTTCTGCAGTGGGGGAACCCAGAAGGGCTCTGCTCTGAGCTTTTCTGGGTTCACAGTTGTCAGGTTCTGGTTGCTCAGACTAGATTAGTAAATTAGGGGCTCTTTGCCCCTGATCAGCTTAGGCTCTTTTTAAAGAGAAACAGCCACTGCACAGTGCTGTCACATACGGGGTTTATCAGCCCATATACAGTAAAAAAAAAAAAAAAGGAATTTAAAAGAAAATTATAAAAATGAATAGAATTAATTGAAAAATTTAAAGATATACGTCAATATGTGCAACCTTGGAGCTCACATACATATGTAAAATGCCATTTGTGCAACACATACTAGATATAACCACACGTCAGAGTAAGAGGACCTCATCCACTGCCATTATTTATGGTAATTCTAAACTGATTAGTAAAAGTTTTTACAGCATTCCCCATGTACAGTTTTGGGTATCGTAGTTAGTTGCCATTTTGCGGGTGCACGGCAATATTAAGACTTGACATATTTGGTATTTACTCAACACAAGAGATTTAAATGTGTGCAATATAACAATTTTTTTTTATACTAACAATATAGTTTTGATAAATAGGGGTATAAATATTATGCAACATAACAAATTGAAACTACCATCTACATTCTATAGGTCCTTTGCTCTTAGAAAATATACTACGTTTTGGAGGTCTTTGAGTAGTTTGCTAGCAAAAAAATTTGCATTTTGGCATGTGTGTAAACAACTGTTCTGGCAGCGAAAGGGTATGGGATGCAGCAAAGGAGCACTACATCTTTCTAGAAGTATACATTATCCAGAGAGGACGCCAGAGAATTTTATGGCCTGTCATGGACTAGTAGATAAATTTGGAAGAGTCTTTGTCTGCTTTATAACTTCTGGGTTCCTGGACCTGCATGACTTTTCATATCAATTCAGGAGATGTATGCAGTAAGAGGGCCAATTCATTTTGTGTGGTAACAGGCAACAATTCTTAGTGCGGTTTAGGACAGCTTTTTCTAATATTCAAAGCAAAATTCTGGGTGCCGATGTGACATGTTTCAAACAATGCGTCAACCTCTCTGCCCATAATTTACTATGAGTTAAAGCTGAACTCCGGCAAACTGCTAAATATATAGATGAAATGTATATGTATGAACAGTTTTACCTGACAGAGGATTTGTATTTCTGTCAATACATTCATGAGATTTATACAGCTGTGACACACAGAACAGACTTGTCTGGTAGGAGAGAAGACCTGAGTTTCCTCTATTGCAGTTAAGCAACAATTGAAGATCTTGTCCCTTCCCCAGCCTGTGACTGGACAGTGAAAGAAGAAGCAGCTGACTGATGCGTTTATATTGCGAGCATGTCCTCTGCTAGCATATGAGCGCTGCAGCACAACTGACTGGCTCCTTGTGCTGCTTCTCTCTCCCCCAGCATGAGCTCTGCTCTATAAGGAATTGTAAGAGGCTGATATAAGGTCAAATTCAGATACTTACATTTAGGAGTTGAACTCCAAGCAGATTTAAAATGCAGACGCAATCTAATGCATTTTTCTATCAATTACACGATGTTGATGGGTATTCCTCCTTACCTGGTGACATTTTACAGATGGAAGCCAATGTGGACACATGTTCTGGTGACCACTGTCTAAGCAGGGATTTCCCCTTACTTTAAAGAGATTTCCTATTTTTACCTGTTGCGTCTATGTCTTAGGAAGTGGAAGGAAATTTCCCCCAGACAGGCAGCACCCCCCTACAAAAAAACCCTTATCAAACGATGTGCAAAGCAGGAAAACATGTTTCTCTAGATTTCCACTGTAATGGATGGAACAAGTCTTTATTTAAAAGAAATACTGTACCATACTAATGTAATAAAGTGGACCTAGACTCAAGCAACAGTGTAAGACAAGTCAGTTGTGAATGCTATAGCAATCACAATTAGCATCCAACATCTGCTTTGGGGAATGGCTCTTCCTGTTCCTAGACCCTGCCCCTGATGACAATTAATGTCATCCAGTAAAACAAAATCATGAGTGGGCAGGGTAGGTCTATCAATCTCTTGATAGCCTCCTGTGAGGAATGGAGTGTGCCTAAAAATCACATATGCGTTGCTTCTTATAATTAATTATATGCCAAAAGGTACAGTTTTGTTTTACCAATTTGCATTTTCAAATTAAACTATACAAATGAATCCCTGTTAGACAGCCACATTTTAAATAAAAGGTCCGCTTTAAAATCTTATTGCCTACCTTCAACACAGCGACACCCGGCTTGTAAAACCCATGCATACATGTCTACACGGGACTGAGACATGAGCTGGTCCCCCATCAAGTAGGTATTGTGAGAGGATGCAATGAAGTAGTTGCTGAGTGGCAAGGTCATGTCTTGATTGACTTGATAATGTTCCGGATTGAAGATATCTCCTGCTGGGCTCCGCATGTAGTTGGTGAAACCTGTTAGCAATGAATCACAAAGCATGTCGCTGGTTCAATATCTGTCATCAGCGTGTTGTCCACGCCAAAACAATCTTACCAGTGATTTATGGGGAAACTTTTCACAAATGACAAAGTGATGAATCTCCATAGGAATGTATTCCTTCTGATAACCTTGCTTCATCCCAACTAATAACCTTGTGTAACGATGGTAGAGATATTATGCTGAACAGTGAAAGCTCTTGTAGATATAAATGAGCAATATTCCATTTGCCTGTATAAGGCTGTAATTGAGCTTTGATTATTTACACCTTCTTGGTCAATGGAATGACCGCTTTGGAGAATATTTTATCCATATAGGAAATGTTTTATATAATTATGGTCGGTACTAGTAACATGTTAGTAGCAGTACACAAATACAATTATAATTAATGACATAATTCCTCAGTGCTAGTGCTGAGGTCTCCAATTAGTTTGCCTTTCTAAGAACTTTGAATATCAATTAAGATATATCAATCTAACATCCCTTTGTATCTGCCTATATCCTGATCTTCCAGCAGTAGAAATACAGAACCACATCAGCATGTGGTCACATCTCTTAAAGGAAACAGGTCTTGGGAAATATATGTAGGCTGCCACTGCAGATCTACTGGAAAAAATGTGTGTGTGTGTGTATATGTGTGTATCAGGGTGTTGTCACACACACACACACATGCATGCATATGCACACAGACATATGCATATACACACACACACTTTTTCTATAACATTCCAAAACAGCTGTGAGTTTTGCATCTTAAGAACATATTCAGGTCCCAGTGTGCCTCCTGGTGTGGCAAATATCTGCTCTTCACATAGGCAGAACCATGACAATTTGTC